TATATATATATATATATATATATATATATATATATATATATATATATACTAATCTACTGCTCCCTCCGTTCTAAATAGATGACTTAACTTTATACTAACTTTAGTACAAAGTTAGTACAAAATTGAGTCATCTATTTTGAAACGGAGGGAGTAATATATATTACATGTACTTCCTTCATGTACCTATGCCCGCCACATGTTGTCTTGTAACCACCAAAGGTGTGTGTATGTACTGCCAAAATACCAAATTAGTACGCCAATCTTAAGTTACGTGTGCATCAGCAGACGATCAGGACATGCCAAGATAATCACAAAGAAGTTACACGCTACCCGTGAGGCCGTGACACGGCATGAACCTGACAGGTATATATCCGGTGACATAATAACGATGCACCGAAAGGTACAATGGTACAAATTGTTGGAACATCTGCACAATCTGCCCATTGCGTAGAACGGTAGTACACTTCTCTCCGGCCACGTCATAATCTGCCTCGGTGTTGTGTGAAATGAGTATCACGGCAGTCGAGAGTCAATGATTAGCTAAAGATCACACGGCACAGGAAGTTCTTCCTTTTTTTTGCCTTGGCTTTTTAATAAAACTTGGAGCAGGGGGGCGACCCCTTTCATTTGAAAAAATGTTCTTCCCTTTTCAGAGCATTTCTCCAGATATTAAAGTGGAAAATGTTCAACAAAAGCTTATATTACTGAATTTTGGACATCTCTCTTCACAGCAAAACCCTCATGATGAAAAACCTTCATAAGTTCTTTAATAGTGAAAATCTGCCTTGGGTCAAACTGATTTGGGAAACTTATTATAGCACACAGTTGCCTGGACAAAAGATGGAGGGATCCAGCTGGTGGAGGAGCCATTTAAAGCCCATTTCCCTGTTCAAAAGCAAATATCAATGGAATATGGGTAATGGCCAATCTCTGCAACTATGGCATGACAACTGGCTTGATGCTCCCTTAACTAGTAAATTCCCAGAACTCCATTCCTTTTGTTAGGAATGATCTGCAGTCCAGGAGCGGAGCCAGGAGTTGGGGGGCTGGGGCTAATATTCTTGATCGTACAAATTGTTGCATACACCGCTTTGCATACACCGCTTTCTCAACTGATTCAATTGGAAGGATTAGTAATAACACATTGGCCTGTGCAGAGGAAAGATACTTGGAGGGGAATTGGGTAAGACCAACATTACTCCTCAATCAAAATGTATAAATCCATTTGTTCTAGGACTGAAGACAATTATCTGTTCAAATGGGTCTGGAAGACATCTGATGGGTCAAGGCATAAAATCCTTTTCTGGATGTTGCAACATGACAGATTTAACACTAGGAATGTCCTTAAGAGGAAAAACATGCATTCAGATTGCTATGACTGTGTCTATTGTAATGAACACACTGAAGAAACACTGAGGCACCATTTTGGGGACTGTTCTTTTGCTAAAAAAATGTTGGAATAGCATTGTTCCCAATTAAAAAAACTGGGCAAATCAAGCTTTGATGACATCCTTCTCATCCACTCTTCACTTCCTAAGTAAATAGCTTTGTATATCATCTTTCAAGCTTGTTGGAGAATTTGGACTCTGTGGAATGGCAAGATCTTCAGGCAAGAGGTGCCCATCATCAGCTGCTGGAAATTCTGGGTTAAGAGCATCTACTACAGCCGCGTGATATAAGCGCCGTGCTGAAAAAATACAGATTTTTGCGCGCGCGCAGCCGCTCCGTGCGCTCCAGCAAAGGCGCAAAAAACGCACGCGTGACATAAGTGGTTCATTGCGCGGGGCGAAACGGCGTCGCACGCCGCTTATTTTGTGCGCCCGCTTCCGCGCGCTGCACAATAGAGCGCCCGCGCCGCACCCTCTACGCTGCGCCGGTTTCGCCCTGCCCACGCTGCGGCGGCGAATTAGCCGGATGGACGGCCGCGCCGACATCCTCCTCACCCCTTCCTACACCCACGACCCCTCTGCTGCCGCCACCGCTGGCGCAAACCCTAGCGCGGGGAGCTTTGGCTTCGCCTCCGCTGGTGCTCCTCCAAGCACCGGTCTCGCGCGCGGCCTTTTCATGGCGCCACGGACGACCTCGGCGGTGGGTCGCGTCGCACTGACGCCCGTCGTGAAGCCACGTGCCCCCCTCTCGAAGCTCCCCAATGCGGCGCAGGCGGAGGCGAGCAAGGTGTCCAGGAAGAAGAACAAGGCGGCGGACGACTCCTCTAGGCGGCCGAAGAAGAAGCTTGTAGGGCGAGGACCCCACCAATTGTTGCATACACCACTTTCTCAACTGATTCAATTGGAAGGATTAGTAATAACACATTGGCCTGTGCAGAGGAAAGATACTTGGAGGGGAATTGGGTAAGACCAGCATTACTCCTCAATCAAGATGTATAAATCCATCTGTTCTAGGACTGAAGACAATTATCTGTTCAAATGGGTCTGGAAGACATCTGATGGGTTAAGGCATAAAATCCTTTTCTGCATGTTGCTACATGACAGATTTAACACTAGGAATGTCCTTAAGAGGAAAAACATGCATTCAGATTGCTATGACTGTGTCTATTGTAATGAACACACTGAAGAAACACTGAGGCACCTTTTTGGGGACTGTTCTTTTGCTAAAAAAAATGTTGGAATAGCATTGTTCCCAATTAAAAAAACTGGGCAAATCATGCTTTGATGACATCCTTCTCATCCACTCTTCACTTCCTAAGGAAATAGCTTTGTATATCATCTTTCAAGCTTGTTGGAGAATTTGGACTCCGTGGAATGGCAAGATCTTCAGGCAAGAGGTGCCCATCATCAGCTGCTGGAAATTCTGGGTTAAAAGCATCTACTACAGCCGCGCGATATAAGCGCCGTGCTGAAAAAATACAGATTTTTGCGCGCGCGCAGCCGCTCCGAGCGCTCCAGCGGAGGCGCAAAAAACACACGCGCGACATAAGTGGTTCATCGCGCGGGGCGAAACGGCGTCGCGCGCCGCTTATTTTGTGCGCCCGCTTCCGCGTGCTGCACAATAGAGCGCCCACGCCGCACCCTCTATGCCGCGCCGGTTTCGCCCTGCCCGCGCCGCGGTGGCGAATTGGCCCGATGGACGGCCGCGCCGACATCCTCCTCACCCCTTCCTACACCCGCGACCCCTCCGCCGCCGCCACTGCTGGCGCAAACCCTAGCGCGGGGAGCTTTGGATTCGCCTCCGCTGGTGCTCCTCCAAGCACCGGTCTCGCCGCGGCCTTTTCATGGCGCCACGGACGACCTCGGCGGCGGGTCGCGTCGCACCGGCGCCCGCCGTGAAGCCACGTGCCCCCCTCTCGAAGCTCCCCAATGCGGCGCAGGCGAAGGCGAGCAAGGTGTCCGGGAAGAAGAACAAGGCGGCAGACGACTCCTCTAGGCGGCCGAAGAAGAAGCTTGTAGGGCGTGCGACGAATGCGGCAGCGACCGAAGCGCCGGCGAGCTCGCTTGTTGCGCCGGGGGCCGATGCGCACAAGGTGTTCGACGAAATGCCCACAAGGTAAAATTTCGCCCATTTTTTGTTGTTGTTTTTTGAATGCATACATATGGATAGCTTATTTGCTTTGTTGTATATACTTTGTAGTTTCAATGATGAGACATATATGTCAACTATGGGTGTTGGCTCCAACAATTCCCATTGGTCTCAAAACAATGATGTGCATTTCGATGATCATGAGTTTGAGGTGGACGAGGATGGTGAGAGTATCGGCGATGCACTGAAAGGAAGAGCGGGCAACTACACCATGGACGAAGACACCTTGCTATGCAATACATGGTTGCAAGTGTCGAGGGATGCCACCGTTGGAGGGGATCAGAGTAGAGATGCATATTGGATCCGGATGAAGGAGCACTTTGATTTACACAACAAAAATGGAATTGACCGCTCGGAAAGATCTCTTCGCTTCGGTGGTCAACAATCAACATAGATTGTCAAAGGTGGGCGGCCGCACTTAAGGCGGTTGACACGTTAAACCCAAATGGCACTAATGATAGAGATAGGGTAAGTGC